ACACACACACACACACAGGTATAATCATTTTGTTTTCATGATCATATTAATTCGGGATTTCATTAATTAATTGATAAATTAAGGTAAACATTAAATATTATGAAAGTTTTTGTTCCCAGTGTAATTTTATACCCATTTATTTACAAATGTTTTGCATATGACAGATGACAGGAAATGTATCCATCATAGCATAAGGATGAAAAAAGAGATTATAAGGTTGGTAAATTAAGTCGTCGATAAGCGGCTTCATTTCTGCACTTTATGTTTCATCTTCAGTTTTTTTCCCCTTCAACTAATGATAAAAATATCATTTCTTACAAAAGAACCGCTCCGAAAGCAAATGTTACGCTTGAATGCGTCCTCAAATCTTTCCAATCATACAATCAAATCCAAAAGTTGCGTAAACCTGTTGCACACTATAACAATTATCGAATTACATACCTGTAGCAAAAATATGGTAGAAGTATTTCCCTCGAGAATTCCACGCTACTAAATAAATAAGCGATCATTTTGTGAGATGGTGATTCTAAAAATAGGGAAAAAGTTTTTGAAAATTTAAAGCAAAACTAACGCTTAATTAATATTTATAGCGAAAAAAAGAGGGGAAAAAGTATAGACTCAGTGATTAATGATAAAAAGTTAATTAATAATTGAAAAAAATAATGAATGGTTAAGAAATTTGTAATTAAAAAAAATTTTTTTCTAAAAAAAGAAGAAAACTTGTAAATAGAAGACAAATTGAAAATTTTCGTTAAAAAATGATGGAGGTTCCGGAAGATAAAATTCGCGATGCAGAAGAACCCATCAGTCATATTATTGAAAATTCAAAAGTTTTAAAAATGAGCAAAATTGACTTCAAAATTTTTCAAATTTGAAGAACACGAAAATCGCTTAATGCTTCAAATTAGAATTATAAATTCTATAAAAAGTTGCTTTGAAAATTAAAAAGTAATATTTTTACAATTATAAGTGCAAGCAAGAATACTTTATTTTAATTTAATTTCATTCAAACATTTTGCTGCAATTTTAACAATCCGAATTTGATTGATGAAATTCATTCGTGATATTTTATTGTTTTCCCAATCAAACAACATATTTGAGAGATTTTAGCTTAATCAGAAGCATTCTCGAAAGTTTGAAGCATGCAATGACAGCGTTGCAACAAACTGGACAATCGGACGGCCTAAACTGAATCCATCATGTAACCGATTTCAGTGATCCTGTCGGTGCTTTTTTCCGGATATCCGTTATTTACTATTTTCATCATATCAATTGAATGACCAAAACAAATGAAACTGAGAAAATTTCGTTGAAGAAAGCTATAATTTTGCATAGGAGCAATAGCGCCTAACGCGGTCATTCTCTTCTAATGGTCACAAATTTACACTTTCAATATGAGTGTAAATCATCAAAAACAATCGATACTATCAATTTTTCGGATCGTTCATTCACTCCAAATGCTGATAATTAGGAAGAAAGATTCTTACAAAATCAGATAGCAGCCAAGATTAATATTACTAGGCCACATTTATTCTTAGGCTTCCTAAGATAGTCCAATTAGCCGGACTGGTTGACATTTTATGATATCTTTACTTCAATACTTTTCATACGTCTCACACAATGTTCTCTTTCTGTTCCTCTCTTTCTTCTCTGCAAACTTTTGTTTTGTTATTTGTCGAGAAGTAACTTTACGCTACATTTTTTTCTCATAATATATTTGCTCTCATTTCACCGCTATCATTTTTCTCCGTTGCTCTTTTTTTATTTTTTTATTCTCTAACTCTCTATTTTTATTCACTTTTCATCAATTTCTCTAACTAAAATATCTCCCTTTTAACACGAATTCGCACTAATCCTTCGTCTTACTCTCTACTCACAATGCTATTTCTGCCATTTTCCATCTTATTATACAACAATATTTTTGCGCCCGGTCCATCTTTAACTTCTTTTCTATTCATGCTATTTTTTGTTCACATGTTATTGCAAGAAGATATTGTGAGTTTTTTGAGGTTGATTTAAACGCCTGATGATGAAATAGTGCACACAGAGATGCAGAGCGAAATATCTCTGTGGCGTTATGTTCAGAGACGCCATGCAAATTTTATTTCCCACAGCAGTTTGTATTTCTATTTCTTTAAGCTACTATATTTCAGTTTTAGGAGGGTATTCCGTTTTTTTTCTAACCTAACTTTTATGAATTCTTGTAATTGATAAGGAAGGAGAAGAAGGAGAAGAAAAGACATTTAGCAAAAAACGAATGGCTGCTGTTCGACGGCTCATCAAATCATTAAGCGAAGCTAATGAAGAGGATAAGGATGATACCTTGTAAGTATTTCATACCAACAACGACTTATTTGCATTAGAATAGTTGTGCTTGTAACTAAATAAACGAATAACTGACTGTAATTAATTAAGTATTTATGCAATCATGTTTCAATTTCTGTCATAGATTAGCTTACTGAGCAAGGAATTATGCAAATGCTTTTCGACTAGTCGAGTAATTTTGTATTATTAAATAGGTTTAAAGAAGTATTTGGATTAGTAATGAGGTAGAAGAATTGCAAAGTTCATGATGTTAAAAAACATACAAATAAATGAATGAGTAGTGACTTGCTTGCTAAAGTTAGTGATTAAATTAATGATAGTGTCAAGATAAGTAATGGGATAGAAGATCTGCATTCTTACTAATTTGATTCGTCAAGTTAATAAAAGAGCAATGTTTGATGTTAAGAACTAATTAAGTGGTAATTAAATGACACAACAAAGAAGTTGCAAGTAGTTACTGATGAACAAAATGCTCCACTGATTTTTATGCTACTGTCATTTGCCTGTCGTTAAATTTCCATTTAAATTTGGATTGTTTAAAAAGTGACGTTATGAGAAAGAAATGAAATTCCCGCTACACGTTCATCAGTAGCTTAACGAGCGAGTGAAATGTGCGGAATGACTTATTTGAATCCCTTCATGGTAATAAATTTTTATAGAATAAGAAGATGGAAC